TCCTGAGCAATTCAGGAATATGGCATCTCTGTTTACGGGTGACTTAAGGGGTTTTTATTTATTTTTTAATCTGAAAAGAGGGTTTTTTTTTTTTTTTAAACAATAGGTTTTGTTACACAGGTATTAAATATAAGAATGTTTTCTAGTTTTAATTTTATTTCTTTTGAAATAGATTAAAGTTAAAAAAATAAAGTAAAATAGACTAAAGTTCACAATCATTATTCAAAAAGAACACAGTGAAAAATCTCCCTCTGACTCCCGTCCTCAGCCACTCAGTTGCCTGCACAGGAACCAGCAGCCTATATATAAATACATATATATACACACATGCATATACATTTATGTGCATATATGTATACATATATATACATATCTATATTTTACACAAATAATAGCACAGTATTCACACTGTTCTGCACTTACTTTTTTCTCTTAACAGTACAGCTTAGAGATCATTTCATATCGATATGACAAGCTTCCTGATAATATATGATGCTTACAATTTCACTGTATGGATGCAAATAATTTATTTAACCAGTCTCCATTGATGGACATACAGATTGTTTCCCATCTTCTGCTGCAATGAATGACCGTGACCATGTATCATCTTGTATATATGTGCCAGTCCATCTGTAGGATAAATTCCTGGAAGTAGACTGCTGAGTCAAAGGGCTTATCAGTTTAGATTCTGTTTGGTGGCTCATAACAGAAAAGCCAAAACATTGGTCATTTAAACAAGATAGAAATTTATTTCTCCCTCAAATAAAAGGAGTCTGGCGGTGGACCATCTAGAGCTGCCATGGACTTCCAAGTGTCAAGAGCAACCAGGATTCTACCTTTCTGCTCTGCCATCCTCTGTTGATTGTGGAGGCCTTCTTTTGGTAAAAGAATACAAAATTACAAATACCTATTGAGTGAGAAAAAAAATCATAATATAATACATGTAAGTTCTTAAGAGCTGAAATAACACAAACATCACATCTGGGAAAAGTAATATTATAACTACTCAACTGCCCACTCTATCTTTATAATAGGTTTTTTTCCCTACTTTTTCTGGCTACATGATCTTCGATCACTTTACCACAGAACAATATTTTGTAATACTGTCTGGAAAATAAATAAAAAGATAATTGAATTTTCCCTTTAGCATGGCTCATTAAAATTTATTATTATTGTAGATAGTTAAAACGCATAAAACATGTGAGACATACTATTTGTAGTACTACTACAGATTTTGCCCTACCAATATAGGGATTCTGATAAAATCTATGGTTCCCAATGCCCATAAGAAAAATATCCAGTGTGTTTATTAATGTATAAGTTAAGTTACTGAGCACACGCCCAGTAGGAGAAAGCTCCTATCTTACCTGGCATCCATGAGTATCAAATTCTCACCTACAATTTTATACATCTTATAAGCGGGAGCATGTTACACTAACTAGTTTCTGGCTCCATACATTTTAACCTCTTTTTCTCTTCCGCTACCAAATACTTCTGATGCTGGGCATAGGACACGTTCACATTGTGATGTGACCCCTGGCCCTGCATTTTGGTATCGCAAAGCCAGGCACAGTAAGCAGTAGGGGTATTCATGGAAGCCATTCCTACAGCAGGACGACTAGCAAATGACGGCAAACCCCAGAAGCATATCCACTTAAACACCGACTAAATGCATCCCCAGTTCAACTTCCCCCTAGCTGGATCCCCCAAATTCCCGTGGCCATTCCAATACCAGCCAACCCAAGGGAAAGTGTGACACAAGAGAAATCAGAGTAGAAACAGACAGCAGTCTAAACCATGTGCAGTTGAAACATCTTACTTCTGCAAAGAAGTTACAAGAGCCCCTGACCACATGAACACGCCAGGGCTCTCCTGGGGCAATGCTCGTGCAAGTGAAGGGCTCCGAAAGTTCAGCTCCCTTACCTGCATGGTACAATGGCCCGGGCCAGCAAGGTTCTGGATTCAGACCTGCCAATCACATAGCCGTGATCTGGAAGGCAGAAGGGAGGCAGAAGCCCTTCTTCCTTTGCCAGTGGCAGGTGCGGAGGTGCCAGTTTCAGCACATATGGGTTTTTGCACTGGCTATTAGGCTCCATATTCTGCAGTCCATCCATCATCCACTTTGGGTCTACTGACTGTAGAGGGCAGCTGTGTGGGTCAGCGGCAGCTTTCATCGACTGTTTGTTTGTTTCAATGTAATTTCCATTCTAATTTCACACATGCAGGAAAGCAAAGAACACAATGAACACCTAGGTACTATCCGCCCAGTTGCAGCCATCATTAAAATTTTGCCATTTTTTGCTTCATAATTGAATCATTTCATGGTAAATATAAGAGATTGTAACAATTCACCCCTAAGTACATATCTCCAAAGAGTAGGGATGCTTTTTCAATTAACAACAAGACCAGTAATATCCCTAACAAAAGTAGCAATAATTCCCTAATATCACCTAAAAGTCACTTCATATACAAATTTCTACAATTGTCCTAAAGATATATTTTATAGCTATTTCTTTGACACCAGGATCCAATAGGTTTCATGCAATGTATTTGTTATGCCTCTTAAGTCTTGTCTTATTTAGGACAACCCCCCTCACGACATTGACTCTTTGTAGAGATCAGGCCAGCTGTCATGTTGAATGTCCCACATTCTAAATACGTCTATTTCCTTACTCTGTCATTTCGCTATTCCTAGTATTTCCTGCAAAATGAGGTAGATCTAAAGGCTTGGGGGGTTTTCAGCCAGACTCATTGAGGTATAATTTATATACAGTAAACATCATCCTTTTAACTTTACTGTTCTGTGCATTTTGACAGATACAGTCATGTAATCTAAAAGCTTGGTTTGATTCAGATTTAACACCACTGGTCAAAATACTTTAAAGTGATGCTGTGAACTTCCTATTGAACTTATCACATCCTCAGGTAATGTCTAGTTGTTACAATATTAATGATACTAATTTTGAACACTGGGTTCCTGTAGTTTTCTGATATCTGAATGTGTATTAGTTTTCTATTGCTGTGCGACAAATTACTACAAACTTGGAGACTTAAAGCAACACCTACCCATTAGCTCATAGTTCTGTAGGTGGGAAGTCAGGCATGGCATCTCCAGGTTCTCTGCTCAGGGGATCACAAGGCTCAAATCAAGGTTTCAGCAGGCTACACTGTCATCTGGAGTCCGGGCTCCTCTTCTAACCTCATTAAAGTTGTTGGTGGGATTCGGTTCTGACTGATCTTGACTGTCGAGGGAAAATAAGACTGATACTACTCAGCAGGGACCTGAAAGGCATATGTCTGGAACCTGGAATCACAGGATTCTTTGGGGTGCCTACTTGTACCTCTATGTCCATTAGGAAACATTAATGGAAAACTACAGTAACCACATACAGGAAGAACCACCAGGCGATTACATTCTTCAGGAAGGAAGGCTTGGGTTATTCCACCAGATAAAGTACCCCGAATAGCTGGATGCTGGCTGAGGGCAAAAGGAACAAGGGATGGATGGCAGAGGAAGGAAGTTATAATAACCAAAATATAATATATTTACAATACGCATATATATTCTTCCTTGCTTTCTTAGGTATTTTCTTCCTCTTTCTTCCCCCTATTATTTTATATAAGGAGTGTTAGTGGCGGCTGATCTTATACTTTAGTCTTTAGAATATCAAACAGATTGTGACTGAACAAGAAGGGAAAAGAACGTCAGCCGGAGATGGACACCACAACTAATGAGTCTCTGGCTCTTTCCTCTTTGGGGAGAGAGTGGCTACCTTGTTTGCATTGTTTTTTTAAAGATTTTATTTATTTATTTGAGATAGAGAGCAGAGTGAGAGAGAGCCTGATGCAAGGCTCGATCCCAGGACTCTGGGATCTTGACCTGAGCCGAAGGCAGACGCTTAACCAGCTGAGCTACCCAGGCGCCCCTGCATTATTATTATTTTTTTTTAAGCTATGCTTTCTTTTGGATGGAAGCATGTTGTTGTTATATTGGTGCTGTTGGAAATTTAACTATGGACAAAAGGGCACATATGGATGCTGGGAAGCCGAAGGGCTGGATCGTATGAGATACTATCTACTATCGTGCAGCACCCCTTTCAAGTCCCTCCTCTACTCTCCCATAGGGAGATAAGATATAGATCACAGGGCTTAGAAGTGCAGGGACTATATTTCCCAGATGTCCTTCCCAACTGGGATACAAATAGGGTTGGTTTTTGCCAGTGAGATGTGCTCACAGTGAGACATTAAAGACTGAAGGGGGTAGAAGCCACCCCTAATCTGGTTCTGATGGCAGCTGACACGGAGGCTCTGGCCACTGTGAGCTTTGCAGTAGTCAGCCCAGCAGTGGCTTCAGGGCTACAGGGCAGCTGTGACTCTCTAGTCTCTGGGTGGCGGCGATGGTTTTCCAGAGCTCTCAATCACAGCTTGGGGCAGTGTGACCTAGAATCCTAACTTTTGCTCTTCCCATCCATCTACTGGTTTTTACCATCGTCTGAGTCCCTATATTACATCCCTTTCTGCTCAAAACACCTAAGATGGTTCTGAAGCTCTGAACTGAATGCTGATAGACTCTTCCATGCAGTTTGTACCAATCTGCATTTCCATCCACAACGTTGGAGAGTGCCTCTTTCCCTCACAGCCTAAGCAACACAGTGTATTACTGACCTTCTTTTTTGACTCATCTCTTAGGTGAGAAAGGTATCGTAGTGTAGTTTTAGTTTGCATTTCATTCATTCAGTGACAGTGAACTTCTTTTCATACGTTTAGAAGCCATGAGGATTGCTTCTTCTGTGTATTGTGCCACCAGCTCACTGTCACATGGCTGCAACCACAAGGCTTGGACCCCCCGCCCCTAATCATACCAGGTCGCCAAAGACCTCCACATCACCAAATCTAATCATCAACCTTTGAGTCTTTTATTTATACTACTAGCAACATTTAGCAAAAATGGCCATGCCTCTTCTTTGAGACACTGGCTGCCCTTGGCTTCCAGAGCTCATACTACGTTCATTTTCCTCCTAACTCACGGTTCCTTTTGTATGTTCCATCTCATCTCCCCAACTCTATACCATTGGGCTGCCTTGGGGCCCAGGTCTTGGACCCTCTTTTGATCCCCATTCACCTGTGATCTTGTCCAGGCTCATGGCTCTCAATCATTTTTCTATACTGAGGGTCCCAAATTTCTATCTCTAGCTCCAACCTCTCCCCTACTCAAAATCCCCACTTGGATAAGTTTAAAAGTCATCTCAAACTAACCATATCCAAATCAAACTCACCTCCTCCCTTCTAAAAAAATAGAACTTTCTCCTCCCAGTGTTCTCTGCCAGAGTTAATAATAGCACAGCACCATCTCACCAGCCACCCAGGCCACAAACCAGGCAGTCCTCTCTGATTCCTCCCCCTCCAATCACCCCTCATCCAATCCTCACAAACCTACCAGATCTACTTTATTTCTTTTTTTTAAGATTTTATTTATTTATTTGAGAGACACAGACAGAGAGAGCATGAGTGGGGGCAGGGGCAGAGGGAGAGGGAGAGAGACAAGTAGACTCTCGACTGAGCAGGGAGCCTGACGTGGGGCTCAATCCCTGGACCCTCAGATCATGACCTGAGCCAAAGGCAGACGCTTAACCAACTGAACCACCCAGGCGCCCCTATGTCTACTTTAAAGGTCCATCCAGAATATGATGTTTGCAGCCCCGTCGTGCGTCCTAGCTTATTGTAGTGGCCTCCAAATGATCTCTCTGCCTTCACTCTTGTTCCCTACCAGCTCCTCACAGCATACCTGCCAAAAAGATTCCATTAGAACATAAGTCACATCAAGTCACTCCAATCAAAACACCTCACTGGATTCCCATATTACTCTCAGTAACCTCCAGCTCTTACAATAGCCTCCCAAGCCCTTCTTGATCTGCCCTCCTGGCCAAGAGGTCTCCAATCTTATCTCTACAGCTTTCCCTTTCATACCCTCTACTCCAGCTGTACAAGCCTCCTTGTACCTCAGATGCACCAAGCACATGCCAGCTTCAGGACTTTTGCACTTGCTCCCTCTGCCCAGAATGATCTAGACAGCCAAGCCACTGACTCTCTCATCTCCTCAGTGCTCAAAGGCACTTCTCATGGAAGAGGGCTTGCTTATTCAAAATAGTCACTTCTGCCCTCTCTCCAGAAAGTCCTATCCCCACTTCCTGCTTTCTCATCATAGCACTTAGGATGATCTGAGCCTCTGCCACCACCACAACCTCCCCGCTACCCAGCTAGGAGTGTAAACTCCATGAGAATGAGGATTTCAGGCTGTTTTATTCAGTGTGAAATCCCTAGCACCTAGAACAGTGCTTGGCATATAACAGACCCTCCGTAAGTATCTATATTAATAAATGAATGAACAAAAGCTAATGTATAGCCTGTAGGACATTCATGTCAACAGGAGGAGGAGATGTAGATTTGGGAAGCCATGGGAGTGGGTGAAATTACCTTGGAGGGAGGAGGTAAAGCTGTAGATGGGAAATACTAACTCACAAGCCATGGTAAGTGTCTAACCTGGAGATGAAGAGTTCAGTGAAAACCGGAAAAAATGCTGTAGGGCAGGTGAGGGTTAAGAGTAATAGCCGATAGGGGGCATCTGGGTGGCTCAGTCGCTTAAGCGTCTGACTCTTGGTTTCAGCTCAGGTTGTGGTCTCAAGGTCATGAGATCAAGCCCACATCGGGCTCTATGCTCAGTGTGGACTCTGCTTGAGTTTCTCTCGCCCTCTCCCTCTGTCTCTGTCTCTCCCCCTTGCTCGTGCTCTCCCTCTCTCTCAAATAAATAAATCTTCAAAAAAAAAAAAAAAAGGAATAGCCAAAGTGTAAAATATGTCAGGTACCCTAAATGTATTAACTTACAACAACCCTATGTGTTCAATACCATTACTATTCCTAATTTCCAGACAACTAAGTGAGTACAAAAGGTTTAAGAACTTGCCCGGGGCCATTTGGCAAAACGGGTCAGAAGCTGGGCTTTAGTCTTTATGTTTCTACTATAACTGCCCTATACCTGCTTTGATGGGAGCTGATTAGGACTGTACCAAAGTTGTGGAGGATCCTATCTCCAGTCCCCATCTCCATGCTCACCAAGGAAGACAGGAAGAGCATCCTCGGAGTGAGACAATGTGGCCTTCCCAGGGGGCTAAGATGCGTTACCGGAACGAGCCCTGGGGGGAGGACCAACACAGGCTCTTGTCCTGGCTTTGCTACTTAACAGGAAATTCAGCCTAGTTACTGCATATTCTGACTGTCCCCCTCCTCATTGTGCAAAGAGGGAGCCAGCTCACATAATCTCACAAGTTCCTTCTGGCTTAGAAATCCCATAGTCTACAACCAAGGCACCAACTCTGTTAACAAGAGAGAGAAGCACATCCTACAAGATGCAACTTTCCTGTAACACCAGCTACAAGGCCGTAGGGAAAAATCAACAAGTAACGAGGGCCTGTTACACAGACTTTTCTGATGGAATCGGAAGCTCTAGGAAGGTTACTAAGAACTAGGGACTTGGAAAAGGGAGCTATGGTGAGAACTGGACATCCTTCAGGGGGGCACTGCACATCTTGGATGCATGTTCATTATCAGGGTTCCTCTTCTTTTTGGTATTATAATTATTATACTGGTGAGCAAAACGGGAGACTCCACATGTCAGGGGAGAGGCCAAGAATAAAATTTAATTCCTGAAAACCTAGATTGTAGAAGACATCGTGCTAAAAATGAGGAATTTTTAGACATACACATACGTCTATAAATAACTAGAAGCTTGTGTTGATGTTCTGCACACACCTGTCCATAAACTGTGCTTGTGTGCACATGCCTGGACACATGCTCACATGGCGCGTCTCAGCGTGCGTGCATGCGTATCTATATATACCCACAGGACTGGCCAGATATAGATTTATATATTGGAGCCTGGCTCTTTCAAATGGGGGGATAATGACACTGAAAATTATTCCAAGCTTTTCAAAGACATAAATGACCAAACTGCCTCCTGACTCCTGAATTATATTACCCAGAAAGAACTTAATAACATGTTATTATCGCTTCTCCTCACTGACAGGATTTCGGGGCTGAAAAGACAAACAAGAAATACGTTCGTAATCACCAGCACAGTCACCTCTGCCGAGCTGCGACCGCCGCTAATTCCAGGTAAGTGCTGTGGGGTGGGAGAAAGCCTCCGGCTGAGAATTCGACTTGGTGCTTGGTAATTGTCACCAGCTCAGCTGGGCTGTCACCAGCTGAGAGGGGGCTACAGGAAGCTCATGGAGCCAACAGAGAAGCCCATGGGGTGAAGGGTAGAGAAGAGAGATTGCATTATGGGAACCAAAATATAATTCCTCAGTTCAAAGATATAATATACATAAAAATCCTTGTAAACTGTAAAGTGCTCTACCAATGTGACTGAACAGGAAGGGGTATCATTAAGGGGTCTTGTTTGGGTTAGGGCTGCCGCATACAGCTGTAGAGGCTGTGCACTGCTCAATTTCTGAAAATGTCATTAGTCTATATGAATGGTGCCCCCCTGGAGTTGTGCCTTGTGGCAGCCCTGTTGAAGTAGGGCTAAGTTGGATGATGAAGACCAAGATGGGGGCTGCTGTTCCCTCCTGGATAATGCTTGAGCCCCAGTGATGAACCATCCAGAGAGGTGGTCAACAATTCCAACAACAACTTGCCAATGCTTTGGGAAATTTGCTTCAGGGTAATTAAAAGGCAATTACAGTTAAGATCCTTGAGGGCAGGAGCCATGATCCTCAGTCTTATAATATGATTGGTATATGATAAACATTTAGAAAAAGTGTGTTAA